GCATTCGCGATGTGGGTCGGGCCCTAGGAATTTTGTGCGAGTGCAATGCCGAGTTGCGCAAGCAGCTCGAGGAGGTTCGGGCCGGGGCGGCTCCGGAGGCGGTTGCAGCGGCCGAGCAGCGCTCCTCAGAGCTCGAAGCGGAGGCGACGCGTCTCCGGGCTGAGGCGGCGATGGCCAACAAGCGCGTGTCGTCGTTGGAGGCCGAGGTCCTTCGCTTAAGGTCCGAGGCGAAGGCGGCCGAGGAAGAGCAAAGCGATCTCCGGGGACTCTTGGAGGGAGCTCAGTCCGAGGCTCGTCTGGCCCGATGCGAGGCAGCCGTCCTGACCCAGCGGCTGGAGGACGCACTGGCTGACATGAAGGGGGCTTCCGACGCCCTGGTGGCCGAGCGAGAGCGGCGGCCGGAGAAGGAGAAGGAAATAATCGAGGCCTATAAACAGTCCCCGGGCTTCCAGCTCGGGCTGGCTCGGTCGGGGCAGGTTACCTATGAGTACGGGTACCGGATCGCCCTTGGCCGGTTCCAGACGAGCCATCCCGGGCTGGAAGTGGAGACGGATCCGTTTGTCTCGCATCCCGAGGATTTGGATGTGGACATGCCGGAGGAAGTTCCCTTTGATGATGGCATGGGAGGATCAGACGGTTAAGGTGGCCCAGAGGTCAGCTCAGCCGAGTAGTTTCTGTACTTTGTACTTTTTGTGACCTTCGGGTCTGGCTGCGGTTGTAACACCTTGCCTTATAAAGAAAACTTCGTTCCAATACGTCTTTCTGCTTTGAAAGTTGAGTCTTGTAATCCCATGCTTCGTGGATAAAAGCGTCTTTTAAGCTTCGGAAATTGAATTGCACAAATTCGACTTGGGAGCCGGGGCATTGGCCTCAGACGAAGAACTTCTTAAGATTCTGGACGTTCCATGTCCTCGGCATAGAGGAACCGTCCATCGTGGTGAGTCGATAAGTACCTGGTCGAACCACGCCGGTAACCCGGTAAGGTCCCTCCCACTTGGGAGCCAGCTTCCCCCTCGCCCGAGTTGGGTCGCTGACTTCGGCTCTTCGTAGGACTAGATCGCCTAACCTGACTGGCCTGGGTTGCACCCTTCTGTTGTAGACCCTTGCGACGGCCCTCTGGTAAGAGAGGGCTTTCAGGTGTGCGTCAGTACGTCACTCCTCGAGTACGTCGAGGTTGGTGCGAAGTCCCTGGTTCGAGGCCTCCTGGTCATAGTTCCTCGTTCGAAGCGTGGCGACAGTCATCTCGGTCGGTAGGACGGCCTCAGTTCCGAAAGCCAAGCTATAGGGGGATTCTCCGGTCGCGGCCTTGGGGGTGGTGCGCAGCGACCATAGCACGCTAGGGAGCTCGTCCGCCCAGGTCGATCGGGCCGCGGATACTCTTTTTCTGAGGCCATCCAGGATGGATCGGTTGGTCACCTCGGCCAACCCGTTCGTCTGAGGGTGGGCTACCGAACTGAACCTCAGCTGAATGCCATGACCGGCGCAGAACTCCTGGAACCTCGTGCCGGCGAACTGTGGTCCGTTGTCAGTGACGATGGCTCTGGGCAACCCGAACCGGGTCACAAGGTTTTTCCAGACAAATTTCTCCATTTGGTGTTCCGTCGTCGTAGCCAGCGGCTCGGCCTCGACCCACTTCGTGAAGTAATCTACTCCCACGATTATATACTTCCGCTGTCCAGAGGCCGGTGGAAAGGGGCCGAGGAGGTCCAGTCCCCACTAGGCGAATGGCCATGCGCAGTCGATGGGACTGAGGGGGACTGTAGGTTGTCGGGGCGCGCGGGCGTGTTGCTGGCACGAGCTGCACCGCTGCACGTAAGCTTTTGCGTCTCGACACATGGTTGGCCAGTAGTAGCCTTGGCGAAGTATCTTGTGCGCCAGGGTCCGCCCGCCAATGTGTTCGCCGCAGATCCCCTATTGAGTTTCAGCCAGGACGGTCTGGGCTTCGTCAGGCTCCAAACACCTCAGGAAGGGGTAGGTGAAGGATCGTCTGTACAGCCGACCACTTTCCTCGGTGTACCAAGCGTGTGTGCGGCGCAGACGTCGAGCTGCGACTTCGTCGAGGGGGAGGGCTCCATCTCGCTTGAAGCGCAGCAGCTCTTGCACCCACGTGGTCGGCGTACTGCCTGGGGCCGTGGTAGCTACCTCAATGGCGCGAGCGGGAAGCTCCTCTATCTCTGACCACGCTTCGGGGGTTCGTCTCGACGCCAGCTTAGCGAGCGCGTCGACCCGTGCGTTCTCCTCCCTCGGAATGTTAGACAATGTAAAGTGAGGGAATTTCGTGGTTAGATCCCTTACCCGTGCCAGATATTTGGCCATGGTTGCGTCACGAGCCTCGTATCCTCCGCTGAGTTGTTCGGCCACGAGTTGCGAGTCAGTGAGGACGTGTATTGCGGCCACCTGCATCTCGAGGGCCAGCCTCAATCCGGCTAGGAGGGCTTCGTACTCCGCCTCATTGTTAGTGGCTTTAAACCCGAAGCGGAGGGAGCGCTCGAATGAGCGTCCGTCGGGGGCGAGAAGGACCAGCCCAGCTCCGGCGCCCCCAGAGTTGGCCGAGCCGTCCACGTGTAGGGTCCAAGCCTCGGGAGTTCGCTTGAGGTCTTTGCCCACCCGAGCTAGCTCCACGATGAAGTCGGCTACCGCTTGGGCCTTGATGGCGGTCCTGGCTACGTAGCTGATGTCATGCTCACCGAGCTCCACCGCCCATCGGAGAAGCCGACCTGCAACATCGAACTTTGTTAAGATCTGCCGGAGAGGTTGGTCGGTGACGACTTCCACCGAGTGTGCCTGGAAGTAGGGGCGCAACTTCCGGGCTGAGAGCACCAGGGCGAGTGCGAGTTTTTCTATCGGCGGGTAACGCTCCTCGGGTCCACTCAGGATGTGGCTGACGTAGTAGATCGGGAGCTGTGCGCCGGAGATTTCCTTGACGAGGACGGAGCTAACTACGTACGGGGAGGCCGCCAGATAGAGCCCCAGCTTTTCGCCGGGGAAGACAGAGGCGAGTCGAGGGAGGGTGGCCAAGTGCTGCTTCATCTGTTTCAAAGCCTCCTCGCATTCCGACGTCCATTGGAAGTTTTTCGGGTCTTTGAGCGCCTTGAAGAAAGGGAGGCAGCGATCGCCCGATCGGGCGAGGAAGCGGGACAGGGCGACGAGTCTGCCGTTGATTCGCTGCAGGTCTTTAACTGTCCGGGGGGACTGCATATCGATTATTGCCTATACTTTCTCCGGGTTGGCGTCGATTCCTCTCTGGTGTATAATGAACCCCAGGAATTTCCCGGAGGTGACGCCGAAAGTGCACTTCGTGGGGTTGAGCCGCATGCCGAACTTGCGTAGCGTGTCGAAGGCCTCAGCTAGGTCGGCAAGGTGTGTCCCGGCCTCTCTGCTTTTCACAATCATGTCGTCCACGTAGACTTCCATGTTCCTCCCGATTTGGGGGGCAAACATCTTGTTTACTGTCCTCTGATATGTAGCTCCGGCATTTTTCAACCCGAACGGCATGACCCTGTAAAAGTATATCCCTTGATCGGTGAGGAAAGCCGTGTGTTCCCTATCTTTTGGCGTCATTCTGATCTGATTGTATCCTGAATAGGCGTCCATGAAAGAGAGGCGCGCGTGCCCTGCTGTTGCGTCAACCAGCTGGTCGATCCTCGGGAGAGGGTAGCAGTCTTTAGGACACGCACTGTTGAGACTAGTGTAGTCAACACACATCCTCCAGCTCCCATTGTGTTTTTTCACGAGAACTACATTGGACAACCACTGAGGATACTTGGCCTCTTCTATGAAGCCTGCCGCCAAGAGTCAGCCCACCTCCTCTTGTATGGCACGTTGCCGGTCAGGTGCGTGGCGACGAGGTTTTTGCTTTACCGGTCGGGCGTCAGGTGGGATGTTGAGATGATGCTCCGCGACCTTGGGGTCGACTCCCTTCATGTCCGATGGGGACCAGGCGAAGATGTCGGCATTCTCCCGTAGAAGGCCGACGAGCTGTTCCAGTTCTCGCTCGGGTAGCTCTGAGCCGACCTTGACCGTTTGATCCGGCCGTGCTTCCCGTAAGGGGATGTCAGCAGTGGGTCCCCTCGGCCCAGGGTGAGGGGCTGGCCTCTTTGCCTCCCGGGGATCTTCTAGAGGCGATTCTCCCCTGACCCTTTTGCCCAATGAGACGGAGGTAAGGTAGCAGCGCCTGGACTCTTGGGGGCTTCCGGTGACTTCCCCGACCCCCTCCCGAGTCGGGAACTTGACGGTTCGGTAGTAGGTCGAGACGACGGCTCTGACCTTGTTGAGGGTTGGCCGGCCAAGTATGGCATTATAAGCGGTGGGAAGGTCAACTACCAGAAAGGTGGTCATGACCGTCTTTGATTTCGGCGGGGTTCCCAGAGTCAGAGGGAGGGTAATGGCTCCCAGAGGCGATATCGAATCTCCCGTGAAGCCGGTGAGTGCCGAACACATAGGGCTTAAATTTTCCCTGGCTAGGGCCAGCTTCTGGAAGGCGCCAAAGTAGAGTATGTCGGCCGAGCTCCCCGTGTCGACCATGATTCTTTTTACTTGCGCGTTGGCTACCCTGGCCGATATTACCAGGGCGTCGTCGTGGTGGGGTCACTAGCGGCTCCGGTTGGGAAGGTGATCTCGGGCTCAGGCTCACGTCCCGAGGCTTCGTCGGGGGCGGCCCGGGCGTAGGCCTTCCTGCCCGACATAGAACTTCCTCCGGATGCGGGGCCCCCGGCTATGACATCGATGTGTCGCTCAACAGGGCCCTCCGGACGAGGAGACTGCTCTTTGCTCGGCCGGAGGTACTGGCCGAGATGGCCTTTGAGGATGAGCTCCTCGATTTGTCTTTTCAGCTCGTAACACTGCTCCGTGTCATGCCCGTGCTGTCGATGAAATCGGTAGTATTTTGAGTGATCTGCGAGCTCTCGCGAGTTCTTCATGGGGTGGGGGTCCCTGAGCAGCCCCTTCCCCTTTTCGTGTAGGAATATCTCCGTCCGGGAAGAGTTCAGGGCGGGAAGAGGGGGCCTAGGGTCAGGCCTGTCCAGCTTTCGCCGGGAGGTGGTGGGTTGCTGCTGTCGGGGCGGCTCCGACTTGACCTTTCTGTGTTCTCGCTTTCCCATCATCCAGGTTTCTGCGACAATGAACTGGCTGGCCCGTTGGAGCATCTCAGGGACCGCGACGGGGGGTCTCTCCACAAGCGACCAGAAGAACCTGGAGGGCCGCAGACCAGTCATAAAGGCCTGGTGGGCGAGGTCATGAAAGGCCTCGGGCGACACTTGCGAGGAGTCGGCGGGCGCGCCGCCAGGGGGAGACAAGCCCGGGTCGTTGAATAGCCGCCAATAGCGTTCTGACACCGCTGCGGGACGTTCATCGCGGGTTTCGTCACGCCGTTCCCCTAAGGCGAGGAGCTCCGCATTTGAGGATCTGCCGGGGTAAATTTGATGATCGCTTGACATTTGGATCGGCCCTCCTTCTAGCGCCAATCTGTTATGGTAAATAACTTTCGGGCCGCGACTTTGGGGCTGACGCGGCTGGTTCTGGGCTCCAAATGCCTGGAATTAGAGGTGTCCCCCTTTATCGGGCTTGAGGTGGCGGATGCGGAGGATCTTGCTCGAGGAGTCTGCCTGGGCGAGCCGGGTTGACGGAGGCTGGGTACCTGCACACAGGTCGGGTCGGTGGCTCGGCCCGACCCCTCCGACGATCAAGTCAGCGGAAGGGAATGTTCTCTTGGTTGAGAGAGAGAGAGAGAGAGAGAGTCTTTTTTCTCTCCCCCCCCTGTGTGGACCCGGGGGGGGTATTT